ACCCCCCGTTACCCACAAAGTAATGGGCTGAGTGAGAAGGCAGTACAGATTGCAAATTCATTAATGGACAAAGCAAAAGCAGACAGAAAAGATCCCTACATCAACCTGCTAGAATACAGAAATACCCCAGTGGATGGTTTTAGATCACCGGCCCAGCTGCTGATTAGCAGAAGATTGCGCTCCATTCTTCTCACAACCAACCGACAGCTACAGCCAAAAGTGGTCTGTGTGATAAATAATGCTGATACTTCCCACTATGTTACCAGATCAGGACATGAAGTGAAACCCAGAGTCATTCTTGATCTATAATTGTAAAGGGTGTAGGCGGATCGCTGCCCTAAAAAAAATAAAAATAATAAAAAAAAATACATTTTTGTCATGCCAATTGTTGCAAACAATGATACAGTTGTGGGTTGTTTAATTTGTATACTGATTGTTGCAGTGATATGTTGAAACTATAATAACTGTTGTGTTGCAGTGTGTCTCCACCATAATATATCCAAGTTTTCAAAGAAAGGGGATGTAATATTCAAGCTGTTTGAATATAAATTCATAATGAGTGTTATACTATATGTTGTGCAGTTCCTAATATAGACTCTAGAGGGCAGTGGGTTTTTTGGGAAAGTGAGTTATGTGAACAAGAGGGTGCAGAAAAGAAAAGGACCGGTTAGCAGTAAATCGGAAGAGGACTCTGTGATTTTTTTTAGACCCCAAAAACAATACATAGTATATTGCAGTATTTTATGGGAAACGGGAAGATCCTCATAAATATTGCCCAGAAGGCATTTTTTCCAAAGTTTTGCATGGCTTTACTGATAAATGGTATGTAACTGTAATAATTTCACTGTTTTTGTACAGTATTTTGTTAGTCTAAATAAGCTGCCTGACGCTGGCTACAGTCAGTGTTTAAACATCACAGAAAACCATCAACAAATGGTAAGACGGTGAGAACGTCCCCATATTGTAAATCAGAAAAAGCAGAAATCTTAGTTTCCTGTCTCCAGTGAGATGGCAGTATTTTTCTCAATGTGCAACACTGCCGGATGTGTCACTAATGGCCGTCAATTGATTTGTATCTTATATTTTGCATAATTTAACCGTCATTATTGAATTTTTATTCCTTGTTTGATTATTTTTTTACTTTAGTATTCTCAAATTGCTGATGAGTATGTTTTTCATCTGTTGCATGATTTTATTGCACTTAAGAATTGTTTTAATAAAGAATGTCTTCATTAAGGGTGATTTCTGTTTTGGACCACATATTTGGCTGTCTGTTTTCTGAAAATTGGAATGATTGTATTTTATGGTTTAAACATTTTGTCAGGACTATACCGTACTTAGCTATGAGGAATGCATGTTTGCCAAGCTCAGGGGTTGAAAATATTATAATTATGGGATGTTTTTTGTATATATTTCTCCAGACGTTTTCCACCCTGTTAGGGACATCACGGAGTTTAAATAATGTACAAGTCAAACAATACTGAACTTTTCTGGGATACAATGTGTCCCTTTTGCTATGATAAAAGTTTCATTCTTGT